TGATCTTAAAGGGCTTTTCCAACCTAAACGATTCTATGATTCTAGGGATAATCACATGCTTAAAGGTAACGGCGAGGTTACGTGTCCCGGAGCAGCAGAGGCGAGGCAGCAGGAGCCCAGGCCCCGCTGCACCTCCTCGGTTATCCGTGCCGGCGTCACCCTGCCCGGGCACGGAGCTGGTGGCCGCCTCTGGGCTGCTCCCTGCTCCGCACGCATCTCCCAGTCTGTGGAGACTGCAGGATGCTCAGGGAACCTGGCAGTCGAAAAACCACACGCAATTATTACTGCTGGGTCCTGCCTTGGGCACCGTCACCGATTCCTGCCGTTACAGCCCTCGCCGCGGCTCGGGACACAACGAGCTCCGCGAGCAGGAGCAGCGCTGTCCTTGTCTATATGGCTGCTTTTTTCTTTAACTCTGAACAACACAACTTTTTATTCCAAGCCCCCAGCACCCAATCCATCTGACTTCTAGCTTTCTCACAGCTGCGTGACACACCAAACCACTTAATGCCCCCTTAGACATACTTCCAATTTTGAGGCCAAATTTGCAGCGAGGGGAAAGCACGGGACACTTACAAAAGCCATCTTCTGTGATGGCAAAACAGACGGGCATTCAGCTGCAATTTTTAAAAGGAGCTGGGCAGCCAGCTCCCGTATGTTCCTTCGAAAATTGGAGCTAAATTAGGCCAGCTAATGCTGCACAGTTCACTGGACAGTATCAGCATGCTCATTCATATGCATAAATGCAGATTTTCATGTTTTCATAAGTGGTACCCTTCTCAAGGTCTGACTTCCAAAGTTTATAGATTTTCCTTTTTCTAATACAATTATTCTTGTCACTGAAGAGCAATTCACATGCAGAAAGGCACAGTTAGTGTCCAACCAACTCTTTTATTACACTAAACAAGGTCAAATATATAAAAATTCCAAGTCGTGGCTCTAAGACAAATCATTAAAATATCCCTCTCCCTCACTCACATATTCGGAGCATATTCTATTGCTGGAAAAAAGAAGCCACCTCACTCAGACTGGAGTAATCCACTGGATTTAATAGATTCCCCCTCCCCCCCCAAACTGCATCCAAAACCAGAGAATGACAAGACAAACCCAAGTTATGTTCAGCATTTTCTGTCCAAAAGTCTCTTCTGAACGTTTATTTCAGAATGGCCTACATTAAGCCAAAGCAAGAGAGCATTTTAAAGTAATGCATGTATCATTTCTTCAAAAGGAAAAATCAAGCCCAGTACTTTGAAACTGAATACAGTCACAGACATGAACAGATAGAGCTTTAACACACATCCTCTAACAACAAACACTCAGTTTCAAAGAAAATGTGCACTTTATACACAGTTAAAATTAAAACAAATAGTAATAGAAACAGCTCCATTACTTTGCATTTTCGGAATGAATTCAGTGCTGGGATTGGAATATTCTGTACACTAATGGGAGTATTTACTGGCGTGGACAAAAGCTCACAGGACTGACCTGAGACAGTAGCTTTAAGCAGGTAACGGCTTAGATCGTTAATTGGGACAGGGCTAATAGAAACAACGGGTGAAGCAGCTGTCATGAACCAATTTTATTTTAAGTCATTAATAAGAAATTGCTGCAGCTTGTGTAGAGAGCAGCAAGGGGAAAGGATTTGCACTTCTTGCCATTCAGCCGGTGAAAGGCTGTTCCGAAACCAGCGCACAGGGTTAAAAGCAACGTAACCCCGGTGTCGGGGACAGTGAGCGGGCTGTAGCCACGCATCCCCGTTTATCTTCCAGGCTCCAAATGTCTTTCCCCAGTACTTTCGGACAACGTGTTTTCCACCCAGCTTCTCCATCACGCTCCCAGCTTTCTGCTGGCAAAGCCTCCCTGCCCACCTTCAGGCAGCACGCTTCTCTGCAGGCTCCCGTTCGAGGAGCACTAGCAACAAACTCCCTCACAGCTCGTCCCATCTCACTGCCTAGCTGTCCCTGCCCGCAAGTCCACTTAAAAAAACTGCTATGTACTCACTGTGTTACTTACACTTACTTCAAGACATCACCCTGAAACTCTTCTGCATAAAACTCAGAGGTCACTCCTTTCCCGGAGCAGCGGCCGGGAGTTACTGCTAAGCAAAAAGCAAGTCCGCTTCCAAACGTCTGCTGGAGGTGAACCGGAGGAGCTCTCGCTGACCTCGTGCAGAGGCTTGCAGTGGCTCTGGGCACGCTTACGCCTCGCTAAAGCTGAGCTGAGAGACGGCTGGGATCTATGCCTGCACTGCCCGGTGTCCCAGAGTGAAAACAGACTGCAAACAATTCAGCAAAATACCTATTTTCAGCAAGTGCATGGGTAGAGGATAACTGCAAGCATGTGCTCGTATCCCCTTAGTTTAAATTTAACGTAAAGCCTACGCTTAGATGTTCTGCGGGACAGGAATGGAGTACGGGTTTACCTGTGTCCTCCACGGAGCCTTACTCCTCAATCCTGTTCCTGACCAGGCTGCAACGAGGGCACTAAGGACTGAGGTAGCCTCGAAACAGAACAGTCCTGTTTGAAACAGGCCCCCAAAATATATTAAAATGCACAAACACCTAACAAAAAAAAAGAGAGCGGAGCAAGGTCCTGAATACATTATAAAGAGTAGCAAAACGCATACACATTTATCAGCATCTCAAACATTAATGCGCATCCTTGCCAAAAAGGCACTGCCAAAGGCAGTAACTACCGCATTCTCCTTTTTCCGATTATAAATTCAAGTTTAATGCCAAAACCACAGAATGCCAAGTCTGACTGGTCTCTCAAGCAGAAATCTAAATTATACATATTGCTCTGTCCGAACTAAATTCCTCGGACATAACGGAAGGAAGAGGGGTCTGGAATAAGGCAATGCCACTGATACTCAGAAAGGGCTTTGTAAAAACTCTTACAGAGAGCTGGTGTGTCCTGCCTGGGTGGAGGAAGGTTCTTCCTCGAGTGTAATGCACAGAGGAACAAAATAACCACGACTCCATCTAACCAGATTACTTTGGAAAAGACAGAAATCTTATCCAAAAAATATCGTAACAACTTCATGCCCTTGGGTAGCAGGGCGTTATGCAACAACGGACCTCAAAACCATTCCTTTCCATAGGTATCACATAAATATGTGGAATTACTGAATCTAGTAACTTCTATTTACTTTTTTTGGATGTTTTACGAGAGTTTGAAGCCTCCCTTCCCTCCTGTTGCATAAAGCTTGCAGGGAGGTCTGAGCCCTCTCTGCGTTGCGGCTGGCACTCTTGCTCTGAGCACAAGTGCTCTCACACACGCACGTTTTTCCTGCAAGTAATTTTCCATAGGGAAAAAAAAACTGTAGCACGTAACAGCTATAGCATGACACTTCCATTTTGTAAGTAGCACATCATTTTGTAAAAGACAGAGTCAAGAGCACCAGTAACAGATGTTTTCCAGCTCTCTCACTGCTCTGCTGCTCAGTGACTGGCACCCACGGGCTGCCTGGATAACCGGAGGCTCCTCCGTGCTGTGTGCACGTTCAAGGCACTTTTGAAACGCAGCATAGAAAGTTTTATGTTTAAAACAAGGAAGAACAACGACGAAACTGCGGACCACAGTATTAAAACTAGCAAAATGCTAACAGCTACCCATTGCTTTCACCTCGTTAATATAAAAAAGTGTAACGTCAGAGATCCAGTGTACAAATGCAAAAAATTGTGCATAATAAATGTACTATAATACTGTACATACAGCATAAACCGTTCAATGAGAATGATTTAAATATACCTATTTGTCTCCTGACTTGGAAGACAGAAGAATAAAGTTCTATAATCCTAGAATATGTGTATACACCCTTTCTGAGAGGTTGAATCACTAGCCAACGGTATCCCTGAAAATAAGCAGAGTCAAATATTTACTTAATGGAAGCCATTATTCAAGGGGTTGCTGGTTATGATAAACTAGGAGAAAAACCACAATATATAAACTCAGCCAACATCAAATCCAGACAGAGTTCTTCCCATCTCCTGACTTGCTACTGGCACTGCTTTTGTTTGAGCCTGCTTTGGATTTCTTCTCTCTGGAACTGCCAGGATTGTTTTGGTTGTTGTAAGCCTGGATCGCGAGGTCCAGGCGCTCCTGAGCCACTTTAATTTCCCTCTGCAGATTTTCCAGGTCGGCAGGAATGTTTTCTTCGTTGCTCCCATACTGCTGCTCCTGAGCTATATTGGCTTTGTTCTGTTTGTAGGCCATTTTGGCGTTGGACAGTTCAGTGTATTGCATTTGCTCCGGCTTGACCGCAATGTTATAGCCAGGAGGAGCAGACGGCGTATTCCAAGTGAAAGGGTAGTTATAGGTACCAGAGTCTTCCAGCTCTTTTCTGTTGTTGTTCAATGTGTCCCGGATTGTGCCAAATCCCAAATGGAGCATCTCCCAGACATTCAAAAGTAAACACATGCAGCTCACCCCATACATTATTAGCAGGAAAATGGTCTTTTCGGTTGGCCTTGAAATGAAACAATCTATCTTGTGCGGGCACGGCTTCCTGCTGCACACAAATATGGGGCTGACCTCAAAGCCATACAAAAAATACTGACCCACGAGAAAGCCGATTTCAAACGTCGTCCTCGCCAGAAGCTGCAGCACATAAATTTTCATGAGTCCATCTTCACGGATTCGCCGCCTGCCATCATGCTTAGCTTTGGCAGGGGCCTGCTGCTCTTTGTTTTCCCGTTCGCTTTCCAGCTCTATTTCTGGGTACATCATCGGGTCTTCCTCGTGGTCCTCCTCAGCTTCCTCTAAGCCACGGTGTTGTTTCCAGCGCATGGAAAAGCTTTTGCTTCTGATTCTTCTGTCAGCTTCGCTGTGTTCCACCATCCGGGCAATTTTATGAATTGCGTAGCCTAAATACATCACAGATGGCGTGGCAACAAGAATGATCTGAAAGACCCAAAACCTCACATGCGAAAGAGGAGCGAAAGCGTCGTAACAAACATTCTCGCAGCCAGGCTGCTCCGTGTTGCACACAAACTTGCTTTGTTCATCGTAATAAATGGATTCTCCTCCCACGGCAGTTAGGACGATGCGAAATACAATCAACACTGTCAGCCAGATTTTGCCAACAAAGGTTGAGTGATTGTGGATCTCCTCTAACAGACGGGTCAGAAAACTCCAACTCATGGTGGTCAAATAATTTTATCTAAAAAACAAACAAAACCCCCAAATATTTATGAGTTTATCAGCTTGAGCCTAAACAGTGCAAACATTCAACCAAGAGAGTCAGAAAACTCGAGAATTTTACAACCAACACACAACCATGTTCGTAGCATCACCTGTTATCGGGAAATTCCAGCTGCCAGAATTTGCTTGAAGATCCTACGTCTCCTCCGCAGGCTTTTGAGAAGTCCGCTACAAAAGAAAGTAGTGGTTAACTGCCATTTCACAAACAAAACATGCTCCCAAAGCTACTCCCGGGCAGAAGAGAAAGACGTGGCTGCTCTCTATTTCTGATGTTAATAAAAATATTTACACTCGAGGCTGAAGTCTCCAAAATGCAGTGGATCAAAAGCTAAGCTCCCATGAAATTTTATGGGCACTGTTGGCTACACCCCACCGCTAAAAATACAATTTATTTTAACCGCACGGAGGGGGCCAAGCCTTGTTAAAGCCTGCGCTGGCGGTCTCGGCCTCGGCCACAGCCAAGGAGAGAAGCTGTTCTCTCCACGGGGCAATGCCAGTTGTCTTCAGGCAGAAACGAAGCACCCAGGCCAAACCTGAGGAACAGGCGGCCGCTGTTATCTTTGATTTAAAGACAGACCAAGCAGAGTGACCTGAGCAGTGCTACCCTGCAGGTCGAGGCTAGAGACAGGGTTTCACCTAAGGAACATCTGACTTCTAACCTGATGCTCAAACTATTCTATGGATTTGCGTTCAGTCCCTTAGGAAGGCTAGAAAACTCCCTTCCAGGGCCAGAAAAGACTGCAGTATGTATCCTGTAGTGGTTTTTTGGAGAGTAGAAGGAAAATCTAGTTTAAAAAGTTATCCGTCAAAAATTTGAGAAGAGATATTAGATAGAAATCAATATAAATTTGCAATCATAACAGTAAAAATCTAGTTTAAAAAGTTATCCGTCAAAAATTTTAGAAGATATATTAGATAGAAATCAATATAAATTTGCAATCATAACAGTAAAAAAAAAGCGGTGGGAACTCACAGCTGGCAACACTGTGAAGTACGAGAATGAACGAAACCTAGCAACGTTACAGGCCCACCTGGAGTAGTAAAACCAGTAAAATACTGACCACAGGAAGAGCTGTTTGACGTTGTTATAGCACAGGACAACTTTCAGTCCTCTGATGATGTCAAACATTAGTTTGTCAAACATTATTAACAGAAATTTTTACATCAGCACAACATTTGGTGAAAGATCCTAAAGCCAGAATTGAACAAATCTCTGGCACTCTGATCTTAAAAGAATTCTTAACCCGGATAAATTCCAGGAGACTGGAAGAAAACTGGTATTTGCAACTACTCAACTTCTTCCACACAACTACAGAGTTGTTCACAGGCAAAATAATGAAATTTGAGGGGATGCAATCAATAAAGAATCAAAGGATGTAATCCCCTTCTGGTGAAATTCAATGTTTCATTGAAAAGGCAGCAGCGCAGGCAGAATGCGGATGGGCTGTGTAGGACATTTGATTTATTACTTCATGACAGGGTGAGAAAAAAATAGCACAAGAGAGCAGTAAAAAAGCCCACATTAAGTGGATTAAAAGTAACAAAGGTCTTGATAAATGATTCCCACATCAGAACCAAGAGCAACTGCATGTAATTACAGCAAGTTCTGCGAAGACCAGGAACAGGCCTGGCAGCTAGGCTGTATCCTCCCCAGGCTCGACCAGAAAATGGCTGCTGGCAAAATCTGCAAATGGCACAGAAGTTTGCAGGCTGACAAATAAAGATGAGAGCTACCAGTGATGCAGAAAAACACAGATCGCTCGAGAGGCTGAGTCCGCTGAACAAAACCACCGCTTTAACCAAGCTTAATGCAAAGACATGCAGCTAAGGAAAAGAACAGCGGTCTTTTATTAAAGGAGAGAGCAGTTAGTCTGGACATCAGCTGACGGGAGGGAGTGAGGGTCCTAATGGAAGAGCATCTCGGCAAGAGCTGCTGACACAGCAGAGGTGATCAATGCAACCCTTGGCTGTGTCACGTGCGAACAGAAGCACGGAGGGTGATCTTACCTCCTTGTTAGCAAGACAGCACTCAGTGCCTCTGTCTGCATCCTTCAGAAGTTGCTTAACCATCAAGAGAGTGAATATATTAGTCTTGAAACCAGCTGAAGAACAGGGAAGGTGCCTAAAAGTGAGAGATTTAGAGAGTTTGTTTAGCTGGGAAACATGGGAAGAAAACGAAGGATTACCGGTCAATCACTTAACCTAGCAGCTGTCAATTGAGCATGCAATCAATCCAAGACTTACAATCAATGCACTTCTTTCTATGCAACCATGCTACCATTATGGCATAGACAGAATTGGCTGAAAAAACACATTTTTAACAGGAAAAAAGACCAGAGGGTTCCAGTCCCAGTGCTGGGACTTGCTGCAGCAAGTGGCTTCACAGCTCTGCAACCCCGAGTTCTGCATTCCAGTGAGTGGAGACAGCCCTTCAGACACCCGCAGCCGCGGCACTTCCCAGCAGCTCACTCGGATTAGGAGTCAAAATGGGAGGCAGATCGAGTCTGGGGATACTCTGCGCACCCGAAGGGTCTCCAATACGCTGAACAGAAAAGGCAAGTGAAACCCACACCTGGAACTGGGGATTACAGAGGTGAGAGCCACCACACCCACACTCACACCGAGCTGCAGGGCCAATCCAGTCACCAAGCACAGACGTGTAACCGGACATACACGTTGCTAGCCGACGTGTCATTATTCGTCAATTAAAAATGAGACAAAACCCGTATAAGTTTAAGAAGGGGTTAGTTTTCACTCACTGAAAATGTTAGGGCATGTCTTTTAGAAAATGTCTTTTCTAAAAGTAAACTACAGAGTAAATTTGAAATTAATTAAATACTGTTGCCAGTGTAAATTTGGAATAAAAGCAGGAACTAGCCTTTAAATTTTCAGATACTGTCAGTGTTTATTCATCAGCGGTTAACAACAGAGAAGTGTGAAATCAACACTGGTTTCAGTAAGACAGGGGACACTGAATCTCTACTGTTAGTCGAGCTGCTACCTCGACATCTAATAAATTCTTTCGAGGTATCTATCAGCTTTTCAAGGTGCATTTTGTGTCTGCAGACCGCACACCTGGGGCTGGCTCGCATCCTACCTCACCAGCTATAAAGAGGAAGACGCGGGCGGATCGCACCTCGGCTCCCTCGGCACAAGGCACCCGGCCTGCCCGAGAACTCGCTTCAGCAGAAAGACGGGGATTCATCTCCCGCGTTCCACCGGTTACGTAAATGAGCAGCGTGACAAACCTACGTACAGACGCTGACCGCACGGACTTGCACACTCAGGTTAACCACAGCCTTCAGATGCGGAAGGAGGTGCTATCAGCCGCGGGTTTAATAACCAAGACTTCTGTCGATTAGAGAGTTCTGGCTGCGGAGATGTGAAGCTGCTGAAGAGCCCTGATTCTCTTCAACAAGAAAGAGTCACTTACTCTAAATTTAGTTTTAGTCCAGAGCACAGCTACTGACACCAGTACGGGAGAATCCACCAGCAGGCAAAGAACTTCTCTGTCTTTAAGGAAACATTCTGGTTCAAGCAAAATGACCTGCCACTAAATCTTTCCCTCGCTGGAAATGTTCAGCCCATCCAAATTAAACACGAGAAGAAAGCAAAGAGCTCCAGGTAGAATTACTGCATCTGAAATGGCGGCATCCTTCAGTGTGATGAGATCGGCCAAGGTTAGAGACTGCACATTGCTGCCCTTACAACACGTGTACTGCAGGACCCGGACAGACTGCAGTAACCTTCACCTAACGTACACTTGGCGTCTCCCGCATTTGTTGTTCTGGCAACATTTAACTCAGTAATTTTCCATTGTTTGAAATAAAAGTCTATGGACACTGACACGCATCTGAAGAAGGCAAAATGTCAGCAATTTCAGCTAATTTAAGTCATGCCAGAAAGTGCATTTGAGAGAGACTTTCATTCCTTGTATTTGTCATAAGTTCATTCCAGCACTTCCAGCGGAGGAGGCTCCTTAGAGCAGGCAGGATACGCGATGCAAATAACGCGCCGCTTATCTCTGACAGCTGGCTGGCTCCTGCGAATTAAAAGTTTTGCAGACACTGACATCCAGAAAGAATAAAGAAGTATTTGGAGCAGGTACATGGAAAAAAAAAAACCAAAACAACAGCTTTAGGTTAAGAGACGCGCTGCAGGAAACCTCGAATTTTAACACAGCTGTTGTACAGACACAGTGAACAGCCCCTCGTGTGTGGAGCTTCCCCTACCCAGCCCTTGTGTGGGTTTGAATATGAATTTAAACACGGATTAATTTTATCTCGTTTCAGCTTTCTCATCTAACTGTGATGGCCTCCCACCAGTCAGGGAGGGAAGAACTGCACCTCGGGGGAGCAGTTTACTGCAGCAACCTTAAGATCCTGCCTTCGGATGACAGTTGAAGTGTGGCAGGGACGGACAGTGGGACAGGAAGAAGGGAGGCAGCTGGATCCGTGGTTACTCTGCTGAAACGCTCCCAGCAACGCCTCCACACCCCTGAGACGTACGGCACCTATAAGGCGGTGCAGCGTGCAACAGCAAAGTTTTAAGAACAGCCTCACCGCAGGCTGTGGAATCCCAAACCCCTTCGGAATGTGTGATATCAGGACTCACGGCATGTCATTCCATCAGTGACACGGACAGGGGGACTGAGCGCGCCCTCAACAAGTCTGTGGATGACGCCAAGCTGAGGGGCGTAACTGGCACGCTTGAGGGAAGGGATGCTGTCCAGAGGGACCTGGACAGGCTGGAGGAGCGGGCCCGTGAGAAACTCATGAACTTCGATAAGGCCAAGCGCAGGGTCCTGCACCTGGGATGGGGCAATCCTCAGTATCAGCACGGGCCGGGGATGGATGGATTGAGAGCAGCCCTGCGGAGAAGGACTTGGGGGTGCCGGTGGCCGAAGAATTGGACGTGAGCCGGCAATGTGCGCTCGCAGC